TCCTCCTCCTCCTCCTCCTCCTCCTCGTCCTCCTCCTCCTCCCTTCTCCTCTTGCTCCTCCTCCTCTTGCTCCTCCTCGCCTCTTCCCACCAGGTCACGGCCCGAAGACCAGAGCACCTCCCGAGCCCAGAGTGGTCCTCACTTCAGCGCCTTGACTGCACCACGTCTCCAATATCCAGCTAGGGGAGGCATCGTGGAAGCTGGTTCTGCCGACCCCGTTTTCTCCCGTGGCTCATTTGACGACGATGGGCGGTCCTGAAGAGCTCGACGGTGCCCGCCCAGAGAAACCGCCAACGATATTCTCGGTGAAGCGGTCACCACCGATGGGATCGGTCGCCACCGACTTTGCTTCAAAGTCTGGTACCGGTCGCGACCGATTTGCTTCAGGATCGGTCGCGACCACACATACATTGGGTGCTCTATGATCTGGGGAACCCGAAGCACGTGGCGTGAGCGAGGTCACATCACCCCCCGCGCAGGCTTCTGAAACCGTATGCAAGGCGCATAAGACGACGCTGGGAGGTCCTGAAGAGCTCGACGGTGCTCTCCAAGAAAAAAATCGCCAACGAACTCCTCGGTGAACCGTTCGCCCCAGTCCCACATCGACTGCCGGGAGTGAGGAGGTCGCTTGCCCACACTGGCGCCTCAGCGACAACCGCTGCAGCACCACGTTGGGCACGACACCAGGTGAGACAAGCATGGTTGGGGCACGCGGCGGGTAATCCTGCGACACGCACTAGGAGGTAAGTGGTTGGTCGATCTTAAACCTCGTAAGGTGCCCTAGACCCCGAGCGGGTCCCCAGGACGGACTGGGAGTACGTGGGGATGTCCTGCGGGGCGCAAGCTGGCATGCAAATCTCTTGGGTGAGCCAAAAAGGCTGAGCACACTTGAACAGTTCTGCGGTGTGCCCTTCTGGCGTCGAATCTGTCACAGCAGCTAGAGCGATCGTGTAGTGCGGGCTTCGGTCGTGAGACTTCTGGTAGACAGCAGCGGGAAGAGGAAGACGGGCATGTGCACTAATTAGGCGATCATGCTGACACCCAAAATTGTCTTGGACTTCTGCATATGAAGCCGCACTGGTCTGGGGTGCAACACATGGCCGAGGACTCTGTTGGTCCACCGCTCTGTCTCAGCGTTGCTCGAGGCAAGGACATACGTAACTGACGTCCTCGTCTCATCGACGGGCATATTCGAATTGGTTGACGGACATTGTATTTTGGTGGTATCCGCACCCTGCAAAAGAGAAATCCCCAAACCTCATCGATGCACGGGTTCGCTTCCCCGTATGGCCAAGTCGGGGTTCCAGGTGCATGAGTTGTTGGAGGACGAGGGAGACGAGGACAAGCGGTGGAGGAGGGGAGGCAGAGTGGAGAGAGGAGAAAGAGGCGGTGTCTCGTGGGGTCCAGAACGGCCGGCGCCGAGGAGTCGTCCCGCGCCCCCTCCCGAGGCGGCCCCTGGCCTTCGCGTGGCAGAGCATGCCCTCGTCGGCGGTGTACTTCAGGGCGTCCTCCAGCGTCTCGACCTCGTGGCCGGCGGACGCCAGCTCCCGCGCCGCGCTGGCCAGCCGCTCCAGCTGGTGCGGGCAGCGCAGCTCCAGCGTCTCGGGGGGCGACACAGCCTCTCGGCGACGTCTTGACTCTGTGCCCGCAGGCTGTGCTGCCGCACGGGGGGAAGCCGACCAAACCTACGTGACTAATCGGGGGCACAGGGGACCCCAGGCCCCGACTCCGTGGGAGTCCCGCCTGGACAAGGGGATGCACCCAAAGACAGACGACATACGGACCGTGGACCGCGGACCCCAAGCCCAACGCGGGGGATACCTATACCGGGTGATAAGGAGGTTGGGGGGGGGAGAGGGGGGGGGGAACCAACATCTGACCTAATCGATCCCTCGATCGATCTCACTCAACGGGAAACCACGGGACACCACGGGACACCGTGGGACACCACGGGACACTTGTCGATCTCACTATCGATCTCACTATCGATCTCACTCAACAGGCCACCACGGGCCACCACGGGACACCACGGGACACCACGAGACACCTCGGGACACCTCTCGATCTCACTATCGGTCTCACTATCGATCTCACTATCGATCTCACTCAACGGGACACCACGGGACACCACGGGAAACCTGTCGATCTCACTATCAATCTCACTATCGATGACACTCAACGGGACACCACGGGACACCACGGGACACCTCGGTGCACCAAATCGATCTCAGTATCGATCTCACTATCGATCTCACTATCGATTTCACTCAACGAGACACCACGGGCCACACAAGACACCACGGGACACTGGCGGGACACCGCGGGCCACAGGCCGCCGGAGGAGAAACATTTGGTCCGGCCGCGGCCCAGCCACAGGAGGATTTCGGGACACCAGCGGGACACCAGCGGGACAGCGCGGGCCACCGGCCGCCGGAGGAGAAACATTTGGTCCGGCCGCAGCCCAGCCACAGGAGGATTTCCTCTCGCCAGCCCACGCAGCTTCGCCTCGCCCGCACGCACGCACGGCACGCACGACACGAACCCGAAACCGAAATCGATTTCCCGGTAGGGGGTCTCTCCGTTTCACGTCGGACTCACCCCCCAACCTCCGATACAATAATTGGAGCGCATCCGAGTGACCCTAGGGGGCGTACCCCCGAATTCCCACGATTTTGAAAGGGAGGGCTTCGGGAATTGCAGGCGGCCTGGGAGCACTTCAAGCTGCCCCCACGGCCGCAGACCCGCCCAAGGCGGCCCCACCTATAGCAGGACGGCCCGAGGAGGACCTCGCCTTCGAGCAATCGAGGAAATGACATCCTGCCCTCGGCGACGGCATGCGGAAGCTGGATACGTTGAGTGAGGACGCCTTTGCCGGCGGAGCATCTGCAGAAGCCAACGGAGAAGGACGAGGAGGAGGAGGAGGAGGAGGAGGAGGAGGAGGAGGAGGAGGAGGAGGGAGGAGGAGGAGGAGGAATAACAATAATAATCAGACGAAGAAGAGGAGGAGGAGAAGAGGGAGGAAGAGGAGAAGGAGGAGGAGGAGGAGCAGGAGGATGAGGCCAGGGGCGTGCCCATGAGTTTCTGGAGCCGGCCGCGTAGCACAAAGCCGGATCATGACCGAGTCGTCGCCCCAAGTCGGGAGGGATAACAGGCCCCCCAGGGCAAGATGGCCCAAAACTCCCCCCAAGGCAAGATGGCCCACAACACCCCCCAAGGCAAGAGGGCCAACAACGCCCCCCAAGGCAAGATGGCCCACAACTCCCCCCCCCCCCACCCGGGCGGTGGCCCGGCGACCCCAGGCAGCAGGTCAGCCTCAGCAGACCACCAAAGGGCCCCCGACAGCCCGCCAGAGAGCCCTGGAAACTCGTGGTGACAGGATGGAGCAGCGCGCCGTTACACATCATGTAAACATATGCATACGGCGGTGCGCATGAGCAGCCATCACCAGGGGTGCGCGCGGACCTCCCCAAGCTGTTGCTTGCGCATGTATGTATTATCGGAGCTGTGCGCAGCGACGGTGCGCTGGCAGGGCAAGCGGTGAAAAATGGTGCACCACTCAAAAGCGCTCAGCGCGGATACGCCCGACTCCCTCCCTGATTCCCTGGTGGCGGCAAGAGCCCACACTGAAGCCCAGAACTTATCAAAAACGCACGCACGCACGCACGAACGCACACACAAACACACACACACACACATACACACGCATGCAGGCAAACGCACTAACGCACACAAAACATCGAAACACACACGAGCATACACTCACAAACATACACACAATCACACACACAATCACACACACACGCACACACACAAGCAACCGAACGCAGAAACGCAGACACGCAGAAACGCACACACACAGACACACACACACACACACACGCGCACACGCACACGCACACGCACTCGCACACGCACACAACACACACACACACGCACACACACAAACACTCACGCACACACGCACACACGCAAGCAAACGCAGAAACGCACACACACACACACATACACACACAAACACACACACACAAACACATACACATACACATACACATACACACACACACTTTCGTGCGTCGCGGGAGGGGCCACTGAGCCACACGGCCGATCGCTAGTCTACACGCGGCGGGCCAGCGCTGGGCAGGCGAGGCAACGGAAGACGAGACGCCGTGCCCGGGATGAGGAGACGGCCGCGGACGAGGGCCCCAGGCGGCGGCGCACCGCAGGTGGGGACCGCCGCGGGAGCGCCGCGGCCAGCAAGCATCGAGGCGGCGTGGCCCAGTGGGGGCGATCGCCGGGCGGAAGGCGAACACACTTTTTCGGTCAGCGACGCAGAGGGTCCTCAAGCGCAGGCAGTAGATGGAAGTGCACACACAGAGAGACAGAGAGACACACACAGAGAGACAGGCGGCTCACACACAGAGAGACACACACACACACACAAACACGACGAACATTCTCATCGATCCTTCGCCCTCATCCTCCTTCCCGCCGACGCCACCTCAGCTTGAATCTCAGGTGCTGCTGCCCCTGCCACACGGCAGGGCATACTAGCCTCGAGGGGGCCTCCGAGCAGCTTTGGCGACTCCCCAAGTCGACGGTCCAACCAAAAGTCCTCTTGGGAGGTCCCCCAACGAGCACCAGGGAGGCCCAGGACTGCACCACTATCGCAATGCCTGTTGACAACAACAATATCCCGAACCTCCAGCGTCTTGGGAACTGTTTTCCGGCCCCGAAGGCCATTTCCCGAGGACCACCGGAAACCTCCGAAAACCGACGACGGCCTCAAACATCCTCCCAGAGACGTCATTCTTCTCACTGGGGAACATGCGCGCGGCTGGATTCACACGCGGAACATGCGGCGGCCGCGCGGTGGATGCGCACGCGGAGGGCGGGCGCTCCCGGGCGTAGCTGCGGGGCCCGAGCGCTCACTGGTCCCCGAGATAGCGGGAAGCTTCCCGCGGCCCATACAACAACCGGACTCTTGATCCTGGGCCCTCCAGGAGCAGCGGGGAAGACGAGGACGAGGCCACCACCGCCAGGGACCCCCCGCGCGGCTTCCAGACGGCCCGCTCCGAACCCCGGAATCAAAGAGAAGGCGTATGCAGCTCTTGGAAGGCAACACCGTGGTTCCTTCCGCCTGCTTTCACCAGCGGAGCCGCGTCCTACTCCCGCCGGCATCCGCCGCCTTTCTGCCGCCCTCCTCCGAAAACCAGCCATACCAACATCTCGAAAGTGAAGCTCCTTCCAGGGCGAGCCAGATCGTGGCATTAGTGAGCAGAGACAAAAACAAGTTCCTCCTCGGAAATGCTGGCCAACCGCCTGGCGTTTTCAACGGCGACAGCTCTCACGTCCACGAAGTCGACGATGACCACCGCCACAACCCTTGAACCTCCCCGTTGCGAAGCGACCCCCCTTCCAACAAGAACGACCCACACGTCCTTCATGGAGCGCGGTCTGACCAAAGTGTCGACGCGCGGGTGGCGCACCCTCCTTTGATCAGGGACCGACCGACATGTTCTTAGAACCCAGAAATGTTCCGAGACCAAAACAAGGTTCTTAGAACATGAGCCCGATATGCAGACATGGTCTAAGAACATTTCCAGGAAGTAACAAACGGTTCTTCTTAGAACATTGCTTGGTAGGCCTGTAGGCACGCCAGGACGCTTCGCCACTGCTCGACTCCTGGGACCCCCCACACACAGAAGAGTCGAAGACGGGGAGGTCCCCAAGAGGCCTCCGGAGGCCCCTCCGCTGGAGATCTCTGACGGGTCCTGGGGGTGGGCCAGCGACAGGAGGGAGGAGGAGGGATAAGGAAAGAGAGGAGGGAGGAGGAGAGAGGAGGAGGAGGGAGGAGGGAGAGAGGAGGAAGGAGGAGAGAGAGAGGAGGAGGGAGGGAGGGAGGGAGGGAGGGAGGGAGGGAGGGAGGGGAGAGGAGGAGGAGGAGGAGGAGGAGGAGGAGGAGGAGGAGGAGGAGGACAGCAGGAGCGAGGTGGGAGGAGGAGGAGGAGGAAGAGAAAGACGAGCCCTGCTGGTCCGATCCCCCCGCGCCACTCGAGTGTGGCCCAGCGAAGGAGAGCAGAAACACATCGACCATGATTCAGGACACCTTTTGAGCCGCGGTGGTATGGCAACGAATAGACCGGCCCCTGCAGGGGCTGGCCTGCCTCCTCCGCGCGGCGCGCAGGCCTGGGCTCGGCACTGCCGTGCGCCTCCGTCCTCTTGCCTCAACCAAGAAGCATAGCTTCTCGGAGGCACGCGCGGATCTCTTGGATCTGCGCTGGACCCCCATTCCTGGCGCCGAAGGCACCGCGGAGAAGTTCTGTGTACGCAGCCGTGTGTTATTCGGTTCTCGCCCTCCTCCTGCTCTCCCTCTCCCTCCTCTCGGGGGCGACGACGGGGGCGAACACACGTATTGCATTCGCCCGGGAGCCTCGCCGAGAGCATGTACCATCGGCGCCCCTGCATACATGCAATGCTCCCCCCCTGGGATACAGTCGACCCGCATCACAAGGACGCGCGATAAGAGTGCAGGGGCCTTGGAGGGCCATGCCGACGCTCTGCGAGCGCGGCGTGGCCAGCAAAAGCGGCCAATGATGGGCCGAAAGGGAGGGATGCAAAGGTATCCTTGGGAAGATTGCCCGTCCTTATTATGCGGGTTAACTGTGTTGGCCCCCATCGTCGTCTGCTCCTTTGAGCAGGGACCGACCGTCCCGGCATTCCTATAGGACAACCACGCAGTTTTCTTATAACCCCAACATGTTCTGAGAACACAAACGAAGTTCTGAAAAGATAAGCCCGACGTGTGAAAACAGGACAGTCTCAACCAGGAATGACCTAAGAACATTTCGTGCAAACCACAACTGGTTCTTAGAACATTGTTTGGTGGGCCTATAGGCGAGCCAGGACGCTTCGCCACTGCTCGACTCCTGCTCTTCCCCCCCCCCTCTCTGATCCCTGCTACCCAAGGATCTTGCACGACGCCCGTCCAGGGCGCCTCGGCGGCGCCCGCTCCCGAGCCCACGATCCAGGCGCAGAGCCACCCGGCGCGGAACTCGGACTTCAGCCGCACCTTCACCTTCACCTCGGGCAGAGCCGGCTCGAGGGATGAAGATGGATATGAGGAGGAGGAGGAGGAGGAGGAGGAGGAGGAGGAGGAGGAGGAGGAGGAGGAGGAGGAGGAGGGGGAGTAGGAAGATGAGGAGGAGGAAGATGAGGAGGAGTAGAAGAAGGAGGGGGAGGGGGAGGAGGGGGAGGAGGAGGAGGAGGAGGAAGACGAGGATGAAGGAAAGGAAGAAGGGGAGAGGACGAGGAGGAGGAGGCAGGAGGGGGAGGGAGGGGAGGGAGGAGAGCAGGTGGAGCGTGCCCAGGAGGAGGCCACACTTTCGACTGGGAGCAGCTGCTACTGCTGCTGCTGCTGCTGCTGCTGCTGCTCGGAGAGGAGGGCTCGAACTGCCGCGAAGGAAGAAGCCGGGGTGGTCAGAGGTAGGCAGAGGGAGTTTCGTCACGTGATGCGAAGTTTCCCCCTCCCCACCAAATCCCCCTCCTCCTCCTCCTTCTCCTCCTCCTCCTCCTCCTGCTCCCTACTACTGCTCCTCCCCCCTCTCCTCCTCCTCCTCCTACTCCTCCTCCTCCTCCTCCTCCCCTCGTACTCCTACTCACCGTTCTATCCTCCTCCTCTCCTCCTCCTCCTCCCTCCTCCTCCTCCTCCCCTCCCCCTCCTCCTCCTCATCCTCCTCCTCCTCCTCCCTCCTCTCTCCTCCTCCTCCTCCTCCTCCTCCTCCTCCTCCTCCTCCTCCTCCTCCTCCTCCTCCTCCTCCTCCTCCTCCTCCTACTCCTACTCCTACTCCTCCTCCGAGAGGCATCGCGTGACGGATCCGAGTCGCCGAAGAGGGGAGGCAGGGGCCAGGGCAAGGGGAACGCGATAGTCAGGGAGGGAGCAGGGGAGGCCAGCAACGAGGCCAGGAGGTGCAGGAAACCGCGGGAGCGGGACCCCGCCAGCTCAAGAGCGCACGACGCGGAATGCCCCGAAGGCGCACTTCCAGGGAGAGGGAGAAGGAGAGAGAAAGGGAGAGAGAAAGAGAGAGAGAGAGAGAGGGAGAAGGAGAGAGAAAAAGAGAGAGAGAGAGAGATCCGCCGACCCCTTGGGGTTCATCGGCGTGTGAGATGTTCCCCCTCCCCAAACCCCTCCCCCGGGAGCCCGGTCCGGTCGATTTGGAGGGGGGGGGGGTCGGGCCGGATCCCCCAGATGGGAACGGAGGTGGGGGGGGGGTCGGGCCGGATCCCCCGGATGGGAACGGAAGGGTCATCCGCTCCCGAAAATCGTGCAAAACCTCGTGAAAATCGTGCAGGGACTCCTCTGGTGGCCTCGACATGGCTCTGGGACGCCCAACGAGCGCTCCAAGCCGCCCAAGGTGGCCCAAAGAAGGGCCACGAGGCGTCCTCGACGGCAGAAGAGGCCCCCACGAGCCCCCCCGAGGGCCTCCGAGATGCGTTCCGCGAGGGTCTCTAGATGCAAAAGTTGGCCCATTCCCTTCGTGAAACGTACATTTTCCACAAATTCGGCTTTGGGCCTTTCCGATGCTCCCCGACGGCCCAAGAGGCCCCCAAACCCGCTCCCAGACGGCCCCAGGAGCCTCGCAGAGGGTGCCCCACATACCCCTAGAGGGCCCCAAAACGGGCCAACAGGCCCAAGAGGGCTCCGAAAACGGCCCCAAGAGCGCTCCAGGAGCGTTCCGAGTGGCCTCCACAAAGCTCCACACGGTCCCAGACGGTCCAAGAGCGATCACAAACATCGACGACGGCCCCCCGACGGCTCAACAGGCCCCCAAGACGGCCCAAGAGGCATCCAAGATTCGCCCCGAGAGGCCCTCTAGACGCAAAAAATCGCCCGTTCCCTTCGTCAAACGTATTTTTTTACACGTGCGCCTTTTGGGGTGCCCCCCGCTCCTGGACGGCCCCAGAGCCCCCCAAGCCCGCTCCCAGACGGCCCAAGACGCCCCCAAGAGGGTTCCCCATATAGCCCTAGAGGGCCCAGGACGGGCCAACAGACGTCCAAGACGGCCCAAAAGGGCTCAGAAAACGGCCCCGACAGCGCTCCAGGAGCGCCCCGAGTGGCCTCGAAGAGAGCTCCACATGGTCGCCGACGGTCCAAGAGCGATCAAAAAACGCTGACGACGACCTCCAGACGGCTACAGAGGCCCCCAAGACGCCCCAAGAGGCATCCACGATGCGCCACAAGAGGGCCTCTAGACGCACAAAAACGCCCGTTCCCTTTGTAAAACGTATTTGTTTGTTCTCGCACGTGCGCCTTTTGGTGTGTTCCCCGCTCCTGGGCGGCCCCAGGGCCCCCCAAGACCGCGCCAAGACGGCCCAAGAAGCCTCCACGAGGGCCCCGCGACAGCCCAAGAGGGCGCCAAGACGGGTCAAGAGGGGCCGAGGACGGCCCAAGAGAGCCCCGAAGACGGCGCGCGCGCGCGACTCGCGGTCAGATTCCTCGCAACTTGCGTTGCTCCCCGCCGTGCTCGTCACTTGCTTCCCCAGGGCGTTTCGGCGGGTCTCTTCGAGGCGCCCGTCCCGCCTTATAGCACTTGGCGCAAACCACCAGATTGCCTCGGTGGAAATAATTCTTCTTCTGGTCTTTCGAAACTTCGCCATCTGCCTTTGCCCGTGGCACGCTCGGCACACCACCGAGCGATGGGCCGAACCCTTCTTGAAGAAGGCGTTCACTTGCTTATCTGTCAGATGCGTCCTGTCCGTGAATTCTCGCTCTTTCCCATCTGCTTCTTTCGGGCACGCGGAGCACGTGAGCACTCGCGACTGATTGCGTTCTTCCTGGCACGCGCGGCACATGACTGGTCGATGGTCCGAACCCTTCGCGAGAAAGTGCTCCACTTGCTTATCTGTCAAATGCGTCCTGTCCGTGAACTCCCGGCCTCTTCCATCTGCTTCTGTCGGGCACGCGGAACACCTGAACACCCGCGAGCGTTTGTGATGCGCGTCGCAGTCGCGACATGTCACTGGCCTATGGCCTGCGCCCGTCTGATAATAGTGCTTGGTTTGGTCTGCTGTCAGATGCCTCGCGTCCGTGATTTCCCGCCCTCGGGCCCTGGCCGAAGGCCCCACCGGATCCACCTGACCCCGAAATCCCCCAGATCGCCTCCAGGTCGCGCCATGAGGGTCCACCAGGCGACGGGACGACCCGCGAGAGCTCCAGGACGGCTCCCGAGAGGTTCATGGCGCGCCAAAACAGCCTCTGAGGACGCCGAGACGGTTCCGCTTAAGGTCAGGAAGGGCCAAGATAGCTTCACAATGGCCTGAAACGATTGAAGGTCACCCCACGGCCGCCCCTGACGGTTCCAAAAGACACCGCAAAGCAGTTCTGAGGTCACCAAGGGCATACCACACTCCTCGGCAACAGATGGCGACGGCCAAGACGGCCGAAAAGAACGCCCAGAGCGCCCCATGACAGCCCAAGAGAGGCCGATGACAGCCCAAGAGAGCCCCAAGACAGCCCAATACTGCCACAGGACGGCCTAAGGGGCCCCAAGACAACCCAAGAATGCCCCCAGAATGGCCAAGGGGCCTCAGACCACCCAAAGAGGCGACCAGACCACTGCGCGATTCTTCATAAGGGGTCGGCGGATGTGGCGTAAGCCTGAAGAATAAACAAACGAAAAGGTGGGAGGAAGCAAGACCGGATGCATTGGCCTGGGGGACACGGGTCCGGAGGGAAACGGGTCCTGGATCCCGGGGCGTCTCCCCTGGGATTGCAACTTCTCATCCTGAGCAATCCGCTGACGGTCCTGGGGCCCACGGGATAGCCGGAAAACGGCGAAAGACCTCAAGGACCCGCTTCCCTCAGGACGACCCTCCTTGGCGAAGTGGAGGGGCGGCCGAGAAGAGGCTATTGCCCCTCCTCCTACTCCAGCAACTCCGGCCCAACTGCATCGAAGCGAGCGCCTCCGGGGGCGCCCTCCTGGTGCGCTGCGCACGCCCGCGAGGGTGGTCCGACCCAGGAGATCTGCGCGGAACTCCGACAGTGTACGTGCACTCTGTTTTCCTTCGAGGCGAAAGATGGAGGAACGAGAACCACTCCACCTCCACAGCAGCCAGGAGGAGGGAGGGAGGGGGGGGGGACGATGGCGGAGGACCCCAGCAAAACGCCCGATGGGCCCCGGGCCATCGGCTCTTCGAGGTCGTCCTGAGACGGCGCAGAATGCTTTCACGAGGGCCTCAAGACGGTCCAAGAGCCCTCCAAGACGGCCCACCAGGGCCTCAGGACGGCCCCAAGAGAGGGCTCACAGGGGGATCTCGATTGGACACGTCGAGCTTTCGTCCTCGAGAGGCGCCCAACATCTCCAAGAAGCCCCCAAAAGGCCCCAAGAGAGCCCCAAAGAGGCCCCAAAGATGATCCCAGGACGCTTTCCAGGGGAGCCCAGACTGCTCCCCAGGGACCCCAAGGACCCCGGAAGGCCTTCCGAGGAGACCCCACGAGGCCTCCACGAGGACTCCGACCCTCCACCCAGGCACGGTGGCGGCATCGGCCGAAGGCCACTGGACGGTGTGAGTTTGTAAGCGGGAGATGTGAAGCTGACCCGCCCCCCATACGACCCTCCCCGAGTACCTGCGTTGAGGCCACGAACCACTCACAACCCCTAGCGCAAACCACCCAAGAACAACTACATAATAACTACTCCGCCTGCAGCCTCTGGAAACTCACCACCGCCCCAGCACCTCATAAGGGGCAAAAGTGCACGCGGGCAAACTCAAGCGATTCAGCATTATGGGTCGGCGAAATGAGCGAAGCGATCCGCCGCCCCACCGATTACGGCGCATGAGATCCACAGCGTGGCCTTACGGGTATGCTTCTGTAGGTCTTCTCACCAGCGCGCTTTTCATACCTACCCCTGCCTCTGAGCCCTCACAAACCCTCCTAAGGCCCTAAGGTCCTCCCAAAAACCCGCTCATTCCGCTGGACCCCGGCTGCGCCCCGGGTCGCTTTTTGGCGATCACTTCCGTCCCAAAACGATCCCCCTTTCATGTGCCGGGTTTCCGGGCGCCGCCAGGCCCTCTCAGAGACTTCTCCGGGGGCCATCTGGGTCCGTTTGGGAGCCCCGAAGGCTCTTCTTTCTCGGCTTACCCGGACCTTCCTTCGGGCCACCTTCGGCCGTTCCGGATGCCTCTCCACCCCTCTTCAAGTAATACCCACACACCCCAACAAGCAGCAACATCCCACACATCCCATGAAGCAAATTTGAACAATTCTGGCCATCTCGGGTTTCTCATTCCGCCTCTCTTGGGACTTCCGTGCATATCCACGGGGTCATGCAGACATTTTCGAACCTGCGGGTGCTCTTGGAGGCCGCCCCTGACAACCTCACGGCGCCCCCCTCGGCCGTCTGGGCCTCTTCTTGGTGCCGTCTTCGCCCGTCTCGGGCACCTCCCGAAAGCTCCCAGGGGCCCTGCCAAGAGCAAGAAACAAGCCTGGATAGTTTTGCCCCCCCTCGTTTCCATCGTTCACCCTGATCCTATCAAGCTCGTGTGCAACATGCCCCCAGGAGCCCCCCCAGAGTTCCCAAGAGGGCCCTTGTAGACCCCAAACAAATTCCAAGAGGAGCCCCGAACGCCCCAACAGAGCCCGAACAAACCCAAATTCCCTAGCCAAAGAGCCGCGGGAGGGTTCCAAGCCCCAGACGCCCCGACAAAGCCCGAACAAACCCACATTCCCTCCAAAAGGCTTCGAAGCTGCCTCCAACAGGCCACCGTGGGGCCTCCCGCGATATCCCAACGATCATCATCATGATCATCATGATCGTCGTGATCATCACCATCATCAACAACAACTTCATCGCGTGTTAACATTTATCATCATCATCATCATCATCATCATCATCATCATCAGCATCATCATCATCATCAGCAGCAGCAGCAGCAGCAGCAGCAGCATCAGCATCATCATCATCAGCATCATCAGCATCAGCATCATCATCATCATCATCATCATCATCATCATCATCATCATCATCATCAGAATCACCATCCTCATCCTTCGTCCTCATCCTCATCGTCCTGTTGTTCATCCCTCGCGAGTGCGCTCTCCGGTGCCCCCTCGAACGAGATCCGCCGAGCATGCTGGACTGGCATTGCGGCGGGACTTGCCGCAGGCAGCTGGACGGGGGAGGGGAGGAGGAGAAGGGAGGAGGAGGAGGAGGAGGAGGAGGAGGAGGAGGAGGAGGAGGACGAGGAGGAGGAGGAGGAGGACGAGGAGGAGGAGGAGGTGGAGGAGGAGGAGGTGGAGGAGGAGGAGGAGGAGGAGGAGGAGGAGAGGGCCCCCAATTTCGACTTCCAGCGGGCCTGCGTCGAGGAAGAGAACGGGCAGGCTGACGGCGCCGGCCGCACCCGGGGAGGGCGAGACGCAGCCACGACGGCGGCGGGAAGCGGGCAGCGCGCACCCCGAGTCCCGCTGGGCAGGCGCACGCACCCTGCGCAGAGAGGGCGACGAGCCTGCAAGAGAAACGGCCGCGAGAAGGCAGCAGCTGGCGCGAGGAGGAAGCAGAGAGAGAAGTTCAAAGGACAGAGAGCACGAGCCCAGGATAGGTCGAAAGCTTTGGCTCGGCCTGGCCCCTCCTGGAGGCTGGAAGTCTGACGTTGCACGAGCCCCGAGGACGCCCCAGGCGAGCCCCACGAATGCCACGAACGCACCGAGTGGCGGGCCACAACAGATTCCGCCCCGAACCCCCGAAATACCTCCCAAGAGACACACATGAAGTTCACAAAGAAGCCTCCCCTTCAACGTGCCATCGCCGAAGCATTGGGCCCCCAAGGACAGCCTGACCCCCTCCCTCACAACACTGTGGCTGTACACGTGGGACAAGATTTGCGGGGGCACTCAGCCATCACGACGACAGAAGCCGAGGGGGAACCCGACCCCGACCGTGGATGCGAGCGAACCGCGGACAAGTCAAAGGATAAGCACGCCACGGCATCCACGATTCAAAGCAGGTGGTGCGGCGGTGTCTACCCCCTCATCAAGGGCCTTTCGATGTGCCAAGAGCAGCAAAAACTCCAAGGAAGCCCGCGCGGAGTCCTCGGATCGGCACTGGGCCCGCCCCCCCCCCCTCCCCTGGCGCGTGGAGCGCCGCCAGGCGGCTGCAGCGCCGACCCGAGAGATCCGCGCGGACCTGCGGCAATCTGTGCCTCGGTGCAGCGCTTCCGCGGTGCAATCCACGGCGACGGCGACGACCTGGCCGTCGGCTCCGACGTCTCGGGCCCCCGCGTGCTGCTCCACTGGACAGGCGCGCTCCACTGCTCGCAGGGCAACGAGCCCCTGCATCGAGGCAGACCCAGTCAGTTGTCTCGGACGTGTGCGAGTGGGCCCGCAGTGGGTAGCGGAACGCGCTCGGTGCTCCACGGAGGCACGGCCGCGAGGCCACATGCGAACCCTACCCCTACCCCCCACGATTTCTGAGGGGGAGGGTGGGGTTCACTTCGTTCGGGGGCTCCCGAGCAAAGTGAACCCCACCCTCCCCCTCAGAAATCGTGGGGGGCAGGGGTGGGGCTCGCGCGTGGCCCCCTAAGCCGCCTCCCCCGACCCAGAGGCGGGCCGCCCTGACCCGAGGCCCGAGCGGCTGCAGTCGGAGGAGGGGCGCGCGGCGCCCAGCTGTCGGGGCCACGCCGGCGGATCCCCGACGGCCCCGGCAGCATCCGCGTCGCCGTGGAGAGAAAGAGTCACGGCGGACTCGGCCGACAATCGGCCCGTGTCAGGAGGAGGCGCGGTGAGGATGCCGGGGCCCTGGAACGCCACGTCGATGCCGTGCGAGCGGGGCGTGGCCAGCGGAAGAGCGGCCACGGACAGGCCGAAGGGGCAAGGGCGCAAGGGTATCCTTGGGGAGGCTGCCCATCCTCACTGTGTGGGCTGACTGCACCATGTTCGGCCTTCGTGGGCCCGCACTGGGCCTCGGGACCGAAACAAGACCTCCTCGGGGTGAAGAATCCTGCGGAGGGCTTCGGGAGTCTGGGGCGTTCTTGTTGTGAAAAAAGAAATATCGGGGCTCTGGGGACGAGGACGGCGACGAGGACGACACGGAGACGGACGCTGTTGGGGCTCCTAGAGCCTTAGGGGCGAAGCAGCGCTGAACAAAAGCATCGCGGACGCAGGATCAGTCAGCACCGAATCGGGAGATCGGATCGTATCGAAGTGTGTGTCAGATCGGATTACATCGGCACGGAATCGAAATCCAATTGGATCGCCCGCGCAAGCATGCACGACAGCGCCCATGCACAGATGAAGGACAAACTGCACAAACATACATCTCCGATGGCCTGAGCGAATTTATTGGATCTGCGAAGGACCCCCCTCCCTGGCGCGCGGAGCGCGTCAGAGGGGGCGGCGCAGATCCAAGGAATCCGCGCAGAGCTTTGACAGTTGATGTTTATGGATTGCTTCCCGATCGAAGTCTGAACAACATGGGAACAACGCGTATGTGCACCAAGGTCTCTGGAGACTGAACCGTGAGGCTGGCTTCGCAGGCACGGCGCAAGACGGCGCATAGTCTAAAATTGTCTGGCCGGTTCTCCGGGCGACAGGGGTTGCACACAAGTGAATACACTCTGTTGGGGGCGCCAATTGGCCACTGAATGGCGGACAACCGTCACATAACATAGCCGACATGTTCCTGGTCCCGACAACAGCGCCCGTGCAGGAATCGGGCCGCATCGGATCGATCGGGGTGTCGTCGTTGTCTTCGCCAGGGGCCCCGATCGCCTTCTGCTTCGGGGTCCTCTCGCCGTGCCGGGCCACCAGGAGCACGCACAGCAGCTGGTCCTCCTCCTCCCCCGCCTCGGAGACGGTCCCCAGGTGCCTCTTGGCTCGATGTTTGAGGGGGAGGGCGGGGAGGAGGAAGGCGGAGCGAGAACGAGGATCAAGGGGCCCAGGGACACACAGGATCCTGGCATCGCCCGAAAGGGCTTGCCGCTGGTGCCCCGCGTTCAGTCTGGTGCCGAGCCTGCAGATCTGAGGTTCGAAGAAGAAAAAACTGTATGAACAGAATCTTTTGGCGCTCCGCGCGGATTTCTTGGATCCGCGCTGGGCCCCACCAGCGGCGCCTCCGGCGCCGCCCCTGGGGCGCTCCGCGCGCCAGGGAGGGGGGTCCACCGCAGAGCCAAGATATCGGCGCGGAGCGCCAAAAGTTTGATGTTCACGGGGTTGCTTCTTCTTCTAGAGGGAGGGTCCCCACATTCCTCCGAGGTCCGATCGACCTCGGACTCTTCTCGGATCGCTGCCTGCATTCCTGCCTCCTCTCAGGAGGGGAAACACAGAAACAACTAATCGTCGATCCCATGGAATAGGGAGAATACGAGGAGTGGAGGGATCGGTCCGACAGGAGAGGGCAGCAACGAACCAGCGAATGGGCGGGCGAACGGGGGCACTACCAAGACATGATCAGCATGAGCAGGAGGAAGGATGGGGCCCAGGGGGTGGTCAGTGTTTCTGAAACGTTTTGGGGGTCACTAGTGTGGCCTTGGGAGTTCTATGGGGGGGCCTGCATCCTCCTCCTCCTCCTCCTCCTCCTCCTCCTCCTCCTCCTCCTCTCACTTCCGATCTCCCTCCTGCTACACGGCCAGAATGGCAACCACGATCAAAGGGCCCACGCCAGCGCAAGCCAGTCACTCCATGCAAAAACTCAAGGCGGTGCGGGTGGCTCTCTTCATCCCCCCCGCCTCCCTCTGCTCATCCTCACTTGTCGTTACCATCGCATTTAACATCGGCCTCATCGGCATCCACATGTTAGTTCTCTACGCTCTTCTCTCCGGGTCTGATCGTTCTCCTGATCCTCCTCAATAAAGTATCCTTAACGTCTCTCATCGAGCAACAACTGAAACTCGGCTAAGAAGAACTCGGTCGGCTGGACTCGGCCCACTGAACTAGGCTACTCTGAACTCGGCTGGCTGAACTCGGCCCAAGAACAGCTCGGCCTGGCTGAACTCGACCAGATGAAAACAAAACTCGGCCCTGTGAACTCGGCCAGCGATCTGGCTACATCGTGAACACCGGATGAACTCGGCCTTAGAACGTCGTCTGGAGAAATTCGACTGGAAGAACTCGGCCTAAGAAAAACTCTGCTGGACAGCTGGAGAAACTTGGCACAGGAAAAACTCAACCTGATAAACTTGGCCACGCTGAGCTCGGCTGGAGAAGCTTGGCCCAGAAGAACTTGTCCAAGGGAACTCGGCCACGCTGAGCATCTTGGGCACTTGGCGGACACGGAGGGTTGATTTTGACGCTAAGAGGTCCCCAGAGGCGTGTTGGCGAGTGCGCTCCCCCTACCCTCCTCCTCGCCTTTGTCTCAGTGGATTGTGGACTCAAGGGGAGGGGGGAAAGGGGGAGGCGTGACAGGCAATCATCACATCTGCCTTTTCGACCCCGACGTTGGTTGAAGAGGCGCGCTCGTGTCTGCAGATGGCGTGGGCCGAGGAGGTGGGGGGCGGGGGCGTCGGCTTGGGGGATCGCGGGAGCATGGAAGGAAGAGGGACGGAGGGGGGAGGGGGAGGGGGAGGGGAGGGGCAAGCTAGGTGCACTCGCGTCATATCTGACATCCTACCCCTCCCTCCCATCCCTTACCATGGCGTAGATCCCCTCTCTACTCGCACAATTGGATGTCGAGCAGGGCAATGATCCCGAAAGGGTACGCGATGCATTTTAGAGAACGGCATGGCATGGCGTAGAAGAGCACCGCAAAGCGTAGTATGTCACAGCATGGCGTGGCGTGGCGTAGTGTAGTGAAGAATTGCATCACAAAGCTTTGCAACGCAAAGCATGGCATCGCACAGCGGCCCCGAACATAACACTGCATAGCATGGCGTTGAAGATCAAAGCGTAGCATGGCATAGCACGACGTGGCACTTAAGCACTGCATATCACAATTTCAGCTGAAGGCATGGCATCGCGCAGCGGAACGCAACCTAGCATTGCATTGCATGCCGTGGCATGGCACGGGAAATGACGCCAGCGCTGCAGCGGGAGCACGATTCGGAACGAGCGGAAGCGCGGAAATGAGGCCAGAGCTGCAGCGGGAGCACGATTCGGAACGAGCGGAAGCACGGAAAGGAGGCCAGCGCTGCAGCGGGAGCACGATTCGGAACGACGATTCGGCAATTGCGGGGCCCGAAAATGAGGCCGGCGCCTCAGCGAGAGCAGCATTTTGAAAACAAATGCAGGCGAAAACCCAACTCCGGGGAATCCTGTGTGTAAAAAACAGTACGCGGGGGGGGGGGGGCGAACACTCCCAACCCGTCATCAGGGGAAGGAGGAGAGTAGTATTCATATTGAGTCATTGTGGAGGGGGAAGGGGAGGGGGAGGGAGGGGCTGAGGGGGAGGGTGAAGGGCAGGGCGGAGGGAGGAGGCTGGGTGACTTCCAAACTGTCCGTAGTCACAGCAGCTGTGTGCCTGTGCTGGCCTAGCATACTCTTTGTATCAAGCGATATGTTTCAAGGGAAGGAGATCTGCCCGCCCAGGGCAAGAAGTGTGCGAGACTGAAGGATTTTCTGTAGTGGCGCAAATTTCTTGCCTTAGGGTACCCACCGGTCGGAAGAAGTAGGTAGAAACATGAAGTAGGAAGGCGGAAGAAGTAGATTGCATTCGGGGCCGCCCAAAAAAACAACAGCAACAGCAATTACAAGAAGTAGATTGCAAATTTCCGGGCCCTGTCTCAGCGGCGCGCAGTAGCGCTAGGTCGCTTGGCTCCTCGGATGGCCCCATTCCTTGGCTGGTTTCGGTTGTTCTGGCTTGTTTTCGTTTGTCCGTCGATCGCAGTGGCAGCCTTTCGGTCGCTCGGCCCTTCGGCTGGCCAAATGCGTTGGTTTTGTTTGTTTCTGTTTGTTTTCGCTTGTCCGTCGGCTGCACTGGTCGCCCCAGGCCCGCCCGCGGCCTTTCGGTCGCTCGGCCCCTCGGCTGGCCAAATGCATTGGTTTTGTTTGTTTTTGTTTGTTTTCGCTTGTCCGTCGGCTGCACTGGCCGCCCCAGGCCCGCCCGCAGCCGTTCGGTCGCTCGGCCCCTCGGCTGGCCGAATTCACTGGTTTTGTTTGATTCTGTTTGTTTTCGCTTGTCCGTCGGCTGCACTGGTCGCCCTGCGCACGCCCGCCGCCCCGCGGTCGCTCGGCCCCTCGGCTGGCCCCATTCCTTGGTTTTGTTTGTTTTTGTTTGTGTTCGCTTGTCCGTCGGCTGCACTGGTCGCCCCAGGCCCGCCCGCCGCCCCGCGGTCGCTCGGCCCCTCGGCTGGCCCCATTCCTTGGCGTTCTTTGTTCCTGTTTGTTTTCGCTTGTCCGTCGGCTGCACTGGTCGTCTCAGGCCCGCCCGCCGCCGTTCGGTCGCTCGGCCCCTCAGCTGGCCCAATTCCCTGATGTTGTTTGTTTTTGTTTGTTTTCGCTTGTCCGTCGGCTGCACTGGACGCCCCAGGCTCGCCCGCCGCCTTTCGGTCACTCGGCCCCTCGGCTGGCCCCACTCCCTGGCTTTCTTTGTTTCTGTTTGTTTTCGCTTGTCCGTCGGCTGCACCGGTCGCCTCAGGCTCGCCCGCCGCTCCGCGGTCGCTCGGCCCCTCGGCTGGCCAAATACATTGGTTTTGCTTGTTTTTGTTTGTTTTCGCTTGTCCGTCGGCTGCACTGGTCGCCCCAGGCTCGCCCGCCGCTGTTCTCTCGCTCGGCCCCTCGGCTGGCCCAATTCCCTGATGTTGTTTGTTGTTGTTCGTGTTCGCTTGTCCGTCAGCTGCGTTGGTCGCCCCAGCCTCGCCCGCCACCCCGCGGTCGCTCGGCCCCTCGGCTGGCCCCTTTCCACTGTTTCGTTTGTTTTTGTTTGTTTTCGCTTGTCCGTCGGCTGCGCTGGTCGCCCCAGGCTCGCCCGCCGCCCCGCGGGCGCTCGGCCCCTCGGCTGGCCAAATTCACTGGTTTTGTTTGTTTCTGCTTGTTTTCGCTTGTCCGTCGGCTGCACTGGTCGCCCCAGGTTCGTCCGCCGCCCCGCGGGCGCTCGGCCCATCGGCTGGCCCAATTCATTGGTTTTGTTTGTTTTTTGTTTGTTTTCGCTTGTCCGTCGGCTGCACTGGTCGCCCCAGGCCCGCCCGCCGCCCCGCGGTCGCTCGGCCCCTCGGCTGGCCCCATTCATTGGTCTTGTTTGTTTCGGCTTGTTTTCGCTTGTCCGTCGGCTGCGCTGGTCGCCCCAGGCCCGCCCGCCACCGTTCGGTCGCTCGGCCCCTCGGCTGGCCCAATTCACTGGTTTTGCTTGTTTTTGTTTGATTTCGCTCGTCCGTCGGCTGCACTGGTCGACCTGCGCACGCCCGCCGCCTTTCGGTCGCTCGGCCCCTCGGCTGGCCCCATTCCCTGGCTTTCTTTGTTTCTATTTGTTTTCGCTTGTCCGTCGGCTGCAGTGGTCGCCTCAAACTCGCCCGCCGCCCCGCGGTCGCTCGGCCCCTCGGCCGGCCAAATGCATTGGTTGCGTTTGCTGTTGTTTGTTTTCGCTTGTCCGTCGGCTGCGCTGGTCGCCCCAGGCCCGACCGCCGCCGTTCGGTCGCTCGGCCCCTCGGCTGGCCCAATTCACTGGTTTTGTTTGTTTTTGTTTGATTTCGCTTGTCCGTCGGCTGCACTGGTCGCCCTGCGCACACCCGCCGCCTTTCGGGCGCTCGGCCCCCCGGCTGGCCCCATTCCCTGGCTTTCTTTGTTTCTGTTTGTTTTCGCTTGTCCGTCGGCTGCACTGGTCGCCTCAAGCTCGCCCGCCGCCCCGCGGTCGCTCGCCCCCTCGGCTGGCCAAATGCATTGGTTTTGTTTGTTTTTGTTTGTTTTCGCTTGTCCATCGGCTGCGCTGGTCGCCCCAGGCT